CTTAGCTTACTCCACATTTCGTCCCAAGCAATTGGGACAGGGACCACCCATAACTCAAGATCACAGTCGCAGCCCAATTGGCGCACATTGAACCCAAGTACCAAATACCAAATACCTGAGCAGCTAACCCAGAAAAGGTAGCGTTTGCCAAAAAAGAATGTCATCTATAAAATTTCATTGTAATTTTCTATTTTCATTACGGAAATCAACGACAACAATTGGAATACGCACATTATTTGCTTGGTATCATTCTTTAGCGGCTTAAACGTATCGTGCCATTCGCGGAAAGGAGGCGTGCTCAACATTTACGTGACAGACAGAGAGGAGGAGGAGAGAGAGAGAGAGAGAGAGATCGAGATACCGACTTGACATAGACATAGATATGGCTAGAGCTGAAGACGATCTCTTTCGATGATCTGCCATGACCAGTGAAAGCAGAACGTAATCAGAAACACTCAGCGCTTCTGATGGAAATAAATAGCTAGTTGAAGATGCCAACAAATTTTAAGTTGAATATAGAAGTGCTAATGCACTTTCAATATATAATATATATGCAAACAATCGAAATTTATTTCAGATTATTATTACTACCATAAAAATTCAATTTTCAGTATTTGTTTTTATATGAACTGAAAATCTTTATGAAGGGTCAATTTTGCTCTAACTAGAATATAAAATATAATAACATAAGGAAAGAGAATGAGAAAGAGAGAGAGAGAGAGAGAGGGAATTATATTTGACATTGAGTTGAAACAGTGAGAAAATTGAACAACATTTTGGTATATGATCTGCAGTGATCTATGCTCAACTTTTCTCCATCTCTGATTTGGAATCCTTTATTTCCTGATGTATCAAAATATTACAAATTAAATAAATAAATGTGAAGCAATCCATGAAATTTCCTTATATTTTATACTATAATTAATTAATTTCTATTCACATTTTAAAAGACGAAGCTAAATATTATCAAACCAACTCTCATCTTATATACCTATGCAGAAAGGTATTTAAGATGAGAGTATTATCACTCCAAAACAAACTCTATACATCAAGTCATCTCACTCTATGCCTTAGCTAAACTACCCCATCGTTAGTGCATCGAAATGCAGAATGATTCCAGCTCCATGACACAGCGCTCTAATTTGTGTGCATGTAATTATTTCAGGTAACTCGGCAGCGATTTGTCGACGATCCGCAGCACTCGCCTCCAAGAGTTGGACGTCGCGACGTTGAGCTGAGAGACCCATTTTGGGCGGAGGGCAATGGCAACATATTAAAAGTAAGTGCCACTTAAGTTTTGCCTAAAACTTTGAGAACTTGCGCAAAAACAAAAACCAAAAAAAAACAAAAAAAACCTCTAAGTACCGAGCGAGTCAGTCACAGTCACAGAGTCTGGCAGTGAAGTGACTCTACTTGACTTCATGCCACACCATGCCACTCGACTGCGCCACATTTGTAGTTATGGGTCGACGACGTGGATCATTCGAAGCGAAGGGAGTACAGACAGACCGAAGGGGACGACAGATGGAGGGGTTTGGACTATGTACTATGTACTATGTGCAATGCAATTTCTAAAACGTGATTCGTGCAAAGACAAAATGCCAGCCTCAGTGGAGCACAACAAAAGACCATTAATATAATTTGTGTCTGGATATTGTGCCACTCTCCAAATTGGCTGCATTTGCCCCAAAGACTAGCGAGCGTTCCTCGGCTCGTCCTAAACGATTATGACGGGGGCAGTTCGGCTGCTGTCCGCTCCGCTCCGGCTTGAATGCCAACAGTTTTCATATCGCATTGTTTACTCTGCTTGGGCTTCCTTCCCAATTCTCAGTTCCCAGCTTCCCATTCCAGATCAAATGGGCCGCTGACACGATCGTGTCGTCGCCCTCGGTATTATAGCGTGGGCGTGTGTGGGCTTTTACTTGTATTTATTTAGCGGATTCGACGAAATGACCAGACAATTGCCTCGCAGTCGCTTAATTTTTATTGCCAAACATCCGAATTGGGCTTAATAGGAACTAATGGCGCAGTAGCTCCCCCCAGGGACAGATAAATCAATATAGACAAATGTACTCACAACAAAGCAACAAGCGTTGGTGTTTGGCTATTCACGTGCTGATTGGAGATTGGGGGATTGTGGAGGAGGGCTTGGCGATGGAACTGACCGATTTGTAAAAGTCGTGCTAAGAATTCATTCTATAGATTTTTACTTTACCTATTCCGTTTGTGACGTTAGTTCTGCTTTACTTCTTTGCTCCTATTTTCTTATTCCTTTTTTTTCTAGTTTAACTTTCGCATTTCTGTATTAATTTTTTCATATGCCTTTTCCTCTCCCTCTCTCTCACACTCTCGCTCTCTATCCCCATCTTTATATCTCATTCTATCTTTCTCTCTCTGCCCCTCTCTCACTCTCTCTCTCTATCAATCCATATCTCTTGTCCTCCTTTTTCCAATGTTCGTTAGTATTTTGTACTATTTTGACTAGACCTTTTTCCTCTCCCTATCTCTCTCTTTCAATCATTATTATTATCACTTTCTGCCTCTCATTCTATCGTATCTCTATAGCTCTCTCCAGATGCATCTCTATCACTTGAAACTTATTTCGTTTCTCTATCTTATCTTCTCTCTCTCTCTCTCTCTCTCTCTCTCTCTCTCTCTTTAAAGCTTCCTTTTAATCTTGCTTAAAACAATAAATCAGGTGCTTCATTCAATTATAACCGCAACTATAAATAATATTCGCTGCAAAGCTTCGCCCTTTCGCAACTCTCTCCCTGATTTCTGTGTCTTTCTCTGCTGCAAGCATTCATATAGAAAAGTGCTCTTCATTTGCTATGCTTACAAAATATAAAACCAAAGTCGCCAGCAAACTGGAATGTGTCCTTATAGGTGGTCACATAGCAAGGGCTTATCTGCTTGCTAGCTTTTTCCTTAACTTCGATTCGAAGAACCTTTCAAATGAGGCAACAAATCAGTGACAAGAACAAAACGCTGCGGTTACCAGCGAATTCAGTCATAAACTAAATGAACGAACCAAGACAGAGAGACAGAGTGAGCTAGAGAGAGAGAGGGGGGAACAGGTTCGGCCCAGACCCTAGTCCGGTCTGGCCTGGCCTGGTATCATAAAGAAAAAGTCTTTATGAGACGCCTGGCTAGATGACAACGTTGCCGGCTGACGGCGATTGCGTTTGATGATAATGAAGACCTTGCGACAATATGCTCACTTGCGTTGATCCGTTGCCTAATGATGGGAGTCATGATGGGGATGGGGATGATGGTGTAGCAAAGTGTGGACCACACGCATTGGGCCAAGAACTTGGGCTTGTGTGCTGCTGCCTGCTGCATGTGGCAAGCATGTTGGTTGGCATTTTATTTGTAAATTTTTTGTTGTTGCTGCTGCAGCGCACTTTCATTTTCAGTGCGCCCCGTCGCATAATTAATTGCGACCGAAAGTGGACAACAATTTGAGCAGCCGTCGCAGAAAGTAAAATGCGCGCCAAAGGAACAACGAACCTGTCCAACACACAAAAATAAACCGGATCATCAATAGCAGGCTAAGAGCTGGACGATGGACGGTGGACGCTGGGATGCTGAGAGATGGGTGCTGCATGAAGCTGGGCAACTTTCTTCTTGCTGCGGCAGTTGCTGCTGCTTCTGACACACTAAACTGACGCAACGTGCCGCAACAAGTGCAGAGCATTCGCCACATTTCTGGCTGCCACATGGGACGCCCACGAGACGGCGACGGCGGCGGCTTCCTGCCGAGAAAAAGTGGCAAAGACTGTGGCATAAATGAAAATTAAGCATGTTTATGGCAAGTATGCGAAAAGGTGCAACAAGCATTGATCGGGGGCAGGCTGCCTTGTGCCTTGTTCATGCCTCATTCACACGCATACTTGAGGAGGCAGCGTTGAGGCGATGGAGCCAGGGAAAGAGGGGAGGGGGGGGCATGACAGAACCAGTTTAATGGCGCATGAAATTTCACCGAAAAATCAGCGAATCTGCGTCTAGCTAAGGTGGCAAACGTTGCAGCATTTAGTTGCTGTTGTTGTTGCTGTAGCGGGCGGGAGGCGTGGCACAGCAAGTTGATTTGCTTAAAAGAAATTCACTTTCCTTTGGGTTTTTACATTTAGTTGTTGTTGTTGTTGTGGTTGTTTTTGTTTTCAAATGCGATCGCCACGCGAAAAGCAAAGGCAAAGAAGGTCACGTCGTTGTAGATCATGAGGATTCGACAAGACCCAGGCGAGTCGCAATTCGAGAGTTGCGACTAGCGACTAGTGACTCTGTGGAAGCTGGTCAAAGCCAAAAGCCAGCCCGAGTCTAAGTCTAAGGCTAACAAACCCAAAAAGCAAACACAATTGAATGCAACTTGCATTCGCAATGAGCGAAAAATACTTTTAATGAAAGTTGGCACTTTGCTTTCGGCTGTGCTTCTTCTTTCTCTCTCTCTCTCTCCCTCTCCCTCACTCTCTCACATTTTTCATTTTTTTTTTCTCACTCGTTTTTGGGGTTTTTCAGTTTTTGATTTGTGGCAGGCGACATGGAAAATGACAAGGAAAATGTTGCTTCATTGCATTGTGGCTACGTTTGGCTGACTCCAAAAGAGTCAACGTGCAGTTGGCCAAAAAATGTTTTTTTTTTTCCTTTAATTTTTTTATTTTTTATTTTTGTAGCCTTTACTAATTGGCTGAAGAAAAATTTGACTAGATTTTATTTGGCATCGAGATGTTCTAGTTTTTGACTATGATTTCCTACACTAAAACTATAATTTATATTTATAGTTACATATTTTATTTTCTATAATTTTTATTTTTTACTTCCATGATATATATACTTTATTTATATATTTAAAAACTGTAATATTTTAAATATATTTTATTCCTTACACTTGAATTTCAATTTAAATGTTGCTTTTATTTTATTTATATTTTTTATTTATTATATATACACTCCCCATATTTATCTCAATATTTAATATTCTAGATTAAAATTTTATTCATAAATATTTTCATTTTCAACATTTAATTATTTGGTTAGCTTTTGTTTTAGTTGCACATATGTGGAATGGACTATCAGTTCTGTATTACTATAGGTACATATTAATTAGAGATCCTTTCTGTATTGTGTACTAAGAGGTCTAGGAGGCTACCATACGTGTGTGTGTGTGTATGTGTCGAAAGTCACCGTCTTAAGCATGTTACAAGTGTGTGCGAAGTGTTAATGAGCAAGGTGTGTGTGTGTATGTGTGATCGGCGTGATAGTGTAGCGACGATACTCCGGATTATTCATCATCGCCATACGGCCGATTATTATGCATCGCTGACCAGCGGGGCATTTGGGAGAGTGCCCAGAACGGGACGCTCAGCATGAGGACATGAGGTATCCAGCCAAGTATGATCTTCTTGCCGGTGGACAGGCGAAACCGAGGTGGTCCACAAACGGGCATGTGGCGACGCACTTGCTGCATCTGGCTGGCATAGCCAGTGCCAACAGCTGTCCTAACTCCACCGATCCAAGGCTGGCTCCAAGCCTGACCATTGGGCACAGACGTTCGTTTGATGGGATCCATCAAAAGGTTGCTCAAATGTGTAAGATTCATCTTTAGTGCTGCGAATAACATAAAATCTATATTAATAATAATGGAAATAAATATAAGAATATACAAAATTGGAAAAACCTCTGAAAAATCTTGATAGCCAAATACAAAAAAATTTATATTTAAAAAATATGTTTTTATAAATTTCAGAAAATACAAAATTGGAAAAATCCTATAATAAAAATGTATATAACTAGTGGGGGAAAAAAACAATTCCTGAAAAATGAATAGAGAGCAAACGAAAAAAAAAAACAAAAATCTTTTTAAACTTGTGGAATAAATGAAAACTTACTAAAAATTTTAACGCCTTATCGAAGCTGAATTCGAATATCTAATGAAGATTCAGGCAAATGAATACATAGCACAAGGCCTGGTGAATAGTCGAAGCCTACTGAGATTTTGTTTATGACAACAGGAAACATTTCGGAGGGTTCAAATGCGCAATGCGCAAAGGTTAAGCATTAAAAATGCTAATGAAAGAGTTTCAGCTGCCGACTGTCTGTCGCCAGCGGGGGCTTTCTTTATGCCAGTTTAATTTGCGCCCGACAATGTTGCAAATAATAAAACAAAGGCAAAATAAATATCCCAAAAAGACGCTGAGAAATTATTACATTTGCCATTGCGTGCGCAAACAATTGACTTTTTTCGCCTCTCGCGACAGCTATCAGCGGCACGAGCAGAGATCAGTTGATTACATAAAAGCAAGTGAAAATGGAATGCTTGAGACGACTGTAGGGTCGTGCGACTTAGCCGAAAGCCAGATTATGCTTAAGTAGGCTTAATTGTCACTCAACCGCAATTTTCAATAATCAATTTATAGTTGTACTATATAAATAAAGTTGCTGAAACCTTGAGGTTGTTGCATTGGCTAGATCAAGCTCTGCAAATATCGATTACATATTTCAAATGTTCCGCGCGGAAGTAGCTTTTGCTATCGGTATTGTCCGACCGCCACATTTTCGGTAACAGCTGTTCTGTTATGGTTCACTTAACAGTATCAGATTTAATCAGCTATTAAAAGCATCTACCGCAATGTTGTGAGGAACTTAATTTAATAAGTTATCAAATATTGTCACAAACTAATCTCAATACTTTACTTAGTTTATCAAGTGTAATAAATCACTTCTTAGGCATTAACCTTTTCTGCTGCTGTTAAGTGTTTAGGGTGCCCATAATTATTTTTAACAGCTTTTGTGCCAAGTTACAAAGGCAAAACAAATCAAAACAATGCAAGACCTAGAAGCACATAAAGCGCGTATAACGCAGCTTGAGGAATTTATTAATGATGTGCTCAAAGAAGACCTAAATCGCCTTGAAAAGTGCCTGAATGATTTCAACGGAGAGGTCATGGAGTATGTCCAGTTGAAGAACACGCTGCAAACATTTGGCGAGCACATGCCGGACGGCTACAAGACCCAGGTTAACATTGGCAGCAACGTTTTCATGCAGGCGCGGGTAAAAAAAATGGACAAAATACTGGTCAATGTAGGTAAGGAGCTTTTCCTGGAAATGAGCATGCAGGAAGCGATCAACTTCAGTGATGTCCGCATCAAAATCTTGACCAAACAGGCGGACGTAGTGCGCGAGGAAAGCGTGAAGAAGCGTTCACAAATCAAAATGGCGCTGATAGCCATCAGTGAGCGGGAAAAGCTGCTGCAGCAGCAGGATGAAAGATAGTTGGAGATATTTAACAAAGGGGCTTTGGGCGGCTAGTGTTAGAAACGCTGTTTTTGTATTTATATTTACATTGATATCGATATAAATGTGAATCTATTGACAGTCAAAAACTCAAGCGCAACTATTTAAAAATTATTTGTAAATGATGTACAGATTTCAATTAATCTTACTTATCAAAATGTTAATTTATTTAAAAAATTACAACTGTCAATTTACATCTGTTGGCCAAATGTGTGTTTAAAAAAACGCGTATTAAACAGAATTGTAAAAAGTATGAATATTACAGTACATGTAATAAACTAAAACTCGAAGAGAGATGAATTAATATGATTCTCACAACATGCTAGATGCTGACTCTGTGTCATTCAATTGCCAACATTGGGTCGATTCGGTATTTAAATTTTGACTGGATTGCATAGATTTAATAATGGACAAATCCAGCGAATTGCTCTTCAGCGCTTGACACTGTGCAGAGAGACGCTGTGCCGTACAGGACATAAACCTCAAGCGATTGGCCATCTGTAAATTGAAGTAGAGAATCAGCCAAAATATGATCAAGTTGATTAAATGGCTTTGGCACTCACCTCGTCGCTCACCGCCTGACTCCTGCATAAGACGCCTTCTGGATGGGGAGGGGGGCACGACGACGTTTCAAAGCGGCTATTCACTGCATTCTTAACACGTTGCATCTCCGACTCGAGCTGGGAGTAGTCGCTGTATAGGCGCCGGTACTCCTCGCATAGACGCTGATTCTCTTCCAGCAACAGGTTGATGTGCTCCTCGGCACGGTTAATGCACTGACGCATCGCTTCGTCTGATCGAATCTGCGCATCCTTCCACTTGCGGAACGACTCAATGATCTGTTGCTGCTGCTCGTTTACGTTGGTCTGCTGTCTACAGAGTGGAATTTGATACTGGTTAGGATTCGTTACGGACAACGTTATCGGATCCACCGTACCGCATACATACTTCAGCTTGAGCTGCATCTGTTTGCATTCGTTGGCAACGGCGCGCATTTGTTGCCGGATATCGTCGTTGGCCTTGCACAAACGGTCCAGAGTTTCCTTATGCTGACGCTCCTCCTGCTTCAGATGGCATTGCATGTCGTGCAGCAGGCAGCGTGATTTCTTGAGATCCTGTTCTTTGCATTTCAGCTGCTCGTTCAATGCTCGATCCTTACCACAGAGCTCGGCGTCTTTGTCCTTCAGTGCAGTGATCTCGGCGCACAGTGAATTCCGCTAGGCCCACAAAACATATTATATGGCATTATCATTTTGGCTGGATGCTCTATGGCTACTAGTGTACTCACCTCAGCATTGAGTTCCTGCTGGCACTTTTCCAATGAGCATAGACGCTCTTTCAGGCTTTTCACTTCCTTATGCGCTCGCCGCAGCTCCTTGCACTGATCCTCATACATTTGTATTGTTGCTTCATTATTTGCAGTTGCCTTCTGTCGCTCGTATTCCTTTGCCTCGAGCAAACTAGCGATTTGCAGAACTTTCTGCGAGTCTTCACCTGCAGTAAGTGTGATATATACATATGCATATATATATATATATATATATATATATGCTTGACAAAAGAGCCTTACAATTTTGTTGCCTCAGTAATGAAATTTCATCCTTGAGTCTGTTAGTCTCATTTAAATCGACGTAACCGTTCAACGTATTGCGCAGCTCACAGATTTCAGTATCACGTTCCTGCAAAACGACCCGCAGACTTTCTATTTGGCAAACCAGTCGTTCGTTCTGAAATTGGAGTACAAATTTGAATATACAGTGCTATGATATTTATTTATATAAATACAAATAACATAATAAATATATACAATATATACACTTATGCATATATAAATAAAAATTATATACACATTAATTTTAATAAATTATTGAATGGATTTTAATAAAAACAAATAATAATAATAATAAATATATATATGAATATGATGTTTACACAGTTAGTAAGTGCTATTATGGGGGGAATAAATGCTTGTAAGAAAAGAGCTGAAAAATTGCTATAAAAATGTATGTATATATGAATTTATCATTAGACATTATAGCAAGAAAAATTTAAGAGAATGTAGTCAAATATAAAAAAAAAAATAAATAAATAAATAATTAAATAAGAAAATTCAAAATTAGTACAAAAAGATAACTTAAAATATATAAGTTAACGTTTGGTAATAAATATCCTGTAATTAAAAAAATAAAAAACACATATAACAAGCTCTTATCGTTAGTAACTTCTATTTCAAGCTCTAACTTGCAGTTCCAGTTCATTTGTGACAATTCGTGGCGGTTCCTCTTGGGAACTTTGTTCCATTTCCTTTGCCATTTGCTGTTCGTTCAGTTGTTGTTGTTGCTGCACCTGTTCGGTTAGCTCCTCCAGATCACGCCGAAACTCCTCAATAACGCTCAGATAATTATCTCTTGTGGCTTGCAACAGTTCCGCTTGAGTCTGGCAATAGAGCAGCGTGTGCTCTAATTGTCTTCGATGTGGACAATCCTCACCGGGATCAGCCTACAAATGGCAGGATAGTTCAATCCTGTATAAGCTAAGGCTAAACAATTGACTTACCATATTCAGCCCTGCGCTGACCGATTTCAGATCCCAAACACAATTGATATAAACAACTTTTTCTCTTGTTCCTTCTGGTCTTTCGATTGCTTGTGGTGTCAAATGATTTTATGGATGCCTTCGTGCAGCTCGCTCAAAATATTTATAAATGCCTTCATTACCATTCCATTTCAGTCCAATAATATTGCTATTAAAACTTTGTCACGGAAATAAAAGCAAATCACATTTCGTACTTGCGGGTGGCCCCAGCCACTACAAAACAGAGAATAGAGAGAGAGACAGAGACAGAGAGAAAAAAAATTTGATGGCAAAGTTTCACGTTTCCAATTCTTTAGCACTTTGCACTGCTCTGTCCCGCCCCGCCCCACAGCACTCGTTTGTCTGACTTCAATAGTTTTTATAGATATGTATTATGAAATTGACTGTTTGACACGGATTTTGGGAATCAACATTCGTGCGTTCGATACGAAATTATATCGTCGAACGCGCTCCAAAGTTGAATCGGCTCGAATGCATGGCTGCGCGCACTTATAACACCTTTAAATGTCGTTTATATGCTCCACTGGGCTTACACATATGTATATATTTTATTTAATTTCACGTGAAAATCGATTACCGAGAGGTTTGTTTTAAAGGAAAGCTCTCAAGTCAGAGTTGGTCTTTAATGTTGAAATTTTAGATGATATAAATATTGGTTTGAATAAAATTAGTAGTTTAAAAAAATGGTATATATGTATAAATAGAGATATTATTCGTAATACTATAGGCAAATTTAAAATGCATTTTAAAACGAATTGCAATTGTCTATGTGTATTTTAATTTTAATATTAAATTCTCCAATTCATTTTTATATTTTTATTTTTTATTTTTTATTTTATATTTTATTACATTTAAAAGACAGAAAAAAAAAAGTTTTTTTTTTTCGTCTAACATCAAATTTCATGTAAATAAGTGCATAATATTCATTATATTTTATATTTTAATATTTATTGTATATGAAAACAGAAATAAAATACAACTGTTTTTGGTTTTTTTGAAATATGTTGTATAAAATATAATTAAAAATTATAATTAAAAAGGTTTTTTTTTTTTTTTTTTTTTTTTTTGGCTACGATCTAGATTTAGGTGTTTATAAAAGTGATCTATCAGTTAAAATAATCGTTTTATAATAAATATTTATTATAAACTGAAAGTCGAGCTTCACGAATTTAATGGACACTTTAATTCGAACCATCACCCAACAAGTTTACATAGCTGTGTTCTATGTCAAATTATTTCCCAGACACTCACACACATACATGCTTAATAGCGACAATTGATGTATTAATAAAGTTTCGTGTTGCTGTCTGTCGTCAGTCAGTTCGTTTTATAAACTTTACTCGGCATTTCCACCCCATTCGAGCACCTTCATTTGCAGGTATTTACTTTTCAGCTAGCACTTGAAAACAATTTGCACTTTTGGCCAAGTTTGTAGTTTGTAGTTATGTTTTTTTTTTTTTTTTTTTTCTGTGTTGGCAATTGAAGGATAAACTTTGTTTAATTGCACACGTATCCGTTTGGCATCAGCGACGCGTCCTTCTCGTTGTCCTGCCACCTGGTGAATATTATCGCCTCACCCAGACACTTCACTTCGTTGCCAAAGGAGTGCAGACATACAGCGAATAATATCGAAGTCGTCGTCCTCTTTAGGAAGAAGTTGGCAGCGTGGGGGGCGTGGCAGTTGGCAATGTTGGTTGCGGGTGCAGCTAATTAAGGCACGTAAACTGTTTGTTTTATGTCTTGATTTAGTGTGGTCCGACACCGCTGTTGATTATTATATTTGCCGATTTCATATTTCTGTAGTGGGTTTTCGGTATTTCATATTCCGTATTCCGTATCCAGTATTCCGTATGCCGTATTCAGTATTCGGCTTACTGTTTTCCCCGACAAGCCTGATTTGTTTCACGCGAATAAACAGCAACGTTGACGTTGAGCTTTGGACTACTCCGGCGACCATTCGGCTGCCTTTGGCTGATAGCTTGCTGTCAGGTTAACTTATCGCTCTCTCTTTCACTCTCCCTGTCTCTGTCTCGCTGTCTCCCTCTTCTCTTTACTCTTCCCTCCTGCTGTCATGCTCATCGATATGCATATCAGTGCTCGCACAGCTCGCGTGTCGATTGTGGGTAAATAAATAACACGAAACCTATTTCTGCTAGGGACTAATGTAGAGAGGGGCAGAGGGTGACGGGGAGTACAGGGTATAGGGAGTCGGTAGGCAGCTTAACCGCTTTTCAGGGTTCACTACGATTGCAGTTGAACTCATCGGAGTTCCAAGCGATTTGTATTTGTCCAATAGAGTAAGTCTTCGCTTCGACAGGTTACAGATTCGTTTTTTATTTTATTTTATTTTATTTTTTTCATTTTTGTTTTACAAAATATTCAAGTACATAAATCAAGCGACTCAAATGGACTGTCGGGAATTGCAGCATTATATATGTACACACATATACATATAAGGATATAGAGTAGCATATATAACAATGGCATTGCAACTTTATTACATATAATGGTTTGTGCATATATATGAGCGAGGGCTTTATGATAAGTTGAAAATATAGTTTTTAATAAGAGTATATATGACAATTTAAACTAATACTGATACTGGCACTACTGCCATTTCCCATTTAATTAATTGGATACATGATTTCTTCCTAGTATTAGCATCCATCACAAAATAATGATACTAAATTGTTTCAATTTTCGATAAAGAAAAGCTGTCATATTTTATCA